GGGAAATCATGAATGCCAGCAAAAGGAAAGGACAGCGGTTGATTGGGCTTTGTCCTAAGGCAGCTACTATGAGAAGCAGAAATAGACAGCTAACTAATCACATTGAATTAGTTTTCCTTTATGGTTTGGCTGGAATCATGCAGAGCTGAAGTTTTAATTCATGTTTGTGGGTTCAGGACCTTAAATTTAACCCTCTGAATTTATGTCTCAAACAGTCTGTGAAACTCACATTCAGTGTTGCATTCATCCTGGTGGGCTTCTCATGAGTAGTCCAGATTAGAGAAAGCACAAGGACAGGTGTTTCTCGTGATGAGAGAGCAGAGAACAAAAGGCTGCCATCTCTTTTATTAGTTATCAAAATACAGCGTCATCAGAAGGCGTTATTATGGCTACACATCTCATATTACATACAAGAAATAGAAAAGCATCCATATATTCTCCTTATAGGTTTCACATTCTACCTATTACAGTAAATCACGTGAATTCTAGCAAAGCGATACTTAAGGTGAAAACAAAACTTATCATATTTGCTGCTAGCCGAGAGGCCCATCTTCCCGGTATCAGATTACGTCAACCCTCAGGAATGTAGCACAAGGAGATGTCTCTGCCTTTGCAAATACAGTCTATGTTATGAACAAAGAGAGAACGAATAGGGCCCTTCAGAGAGTATCCATATGAACCTGCTTTTTCCACTCAGATTATTTCGGTGCCAAGCTCCATACATTGTCCAACCCAGTTAAACTGGTCTATACATGTACTATGGCCACCGCATTCCCACAATTCAGGTGCTAGCTTTGCCTTAGTTCTGATGTATTTTTTTTAAAAAAACCAAGCCTACGTCTCCCCACATAAAGTTGGTACACAAGTCTTTACTTCAATCAATCAGAATAGAGCTGGAAGGGATCTTGGAGGTCTTCTAGTCTCAAGCAGGAGATCCTACACTATTTCAGACAAGTGACTATCTAGTCTCTTCTTGAAAACCTCCAGTGATGGAGCACCCATAACTTCTGGTGGCAAGTTGTTCCACTGGTTAATTGTCCTCACTGTTAGGAACTTTCTCCTCAATTCCAGGTTGCTTCTCTCCTTGATTAGTTTCCATCCAGGACAGGTATTTTCATGGCTAATTATGTGCTTTCAATGTTTGTTTTTTTTAAAATTTGATTTATATGCCGCCCTCCTCCGGAGACTCAGGGCGGCTTACAATGCGTTAAGCAATAGCCTTCATCCTTTTGTATATTTATACAAAGTCAGCTTATTGCCCCCACAATCCGGGTCCTCATTTTACCCACCTTAGAAAGGATGGAAGGCTGAGTCGACCTTGAGCCTGAGAGAAATTGAACTCGCAGTAATTGCAGGCAGCTGGATTAAATGCTGCCTTAATAGGAGGCATTAGCCTCCTACGCCACTCAGGCTCCCTTCTTGACCCCTTCTTCTTTCTGAAGATGGTTGGAAAGAGACAATGTCTTGGAGTCCTTCTGGAGTATTCTCTGCTGTTTTTAAATTGTGCAGGGCGTGAAATGGGAAATATTTTGCCACGTAATGTCTTGGACATTTGCCCCAACCGTTCCAGGTGTGTTGCATCTCAGTCCAGTTGACAGCTGGAAAAACCTCAATTGGTCTCATTTGGGCCAGAACAAACTCTGGTGGGGCCTCCCAGCCATCTGTCCAGTGTCCTGTCCGGGCCTTCCTTGCTCCTTCTCTTCTCACCTCACTTCTCACTCAACATCTGGTGGCCAGCTGTTCCATTGGTTAATTGTCCTCACTGTTAGGAAGTTTCTCCTTAATTCCAGGTTGCTTCTCTCCTTCATTAGTTTCCATCCATTGTTCCTTGTCTGCCTTCGGGTGCCTTGGAGAATAGCTTGACCCCCTTCCTCTTCTCTGGGGCAGCCCCTCAAATATCGGAAGATGCTCTCCTGTCTCCCCTGGTCCTTCTCTTCACTAGACCAGCCATGTCTTCTGTCCATCTATGGTTCATTCAGATGTCTTTCTTTCTTTCTTTTCTTTCTTTCTTTCTTTCTTTCTCTCTCTCTCTCTCTCTCTCTCTCTTTCTTTCCCTCCCTTCCACCTTCCTTCCCTCCCTCCCTCCCTCCCTCCCTCCTTCCTTCCTTCCTTCCTTTTGCTTTGGAAAATAGCTGGACCCCCTTCCTCCTCTCTGGGGCAGCCCCTCAGATATTGGAAGATGCTCTCCTGTCTCCCCTGGTCCTTCTCTTCACTAGACTAGCCATGTCTTCTGTCCATCTATGGTTCATTCAGATGTCTTTCTTTCTTTCTTTCTTTCTTTCTCTCTCTCTCTCTCTCTCTCTCTCTCTCTCTCTTTCTTTCCCTCCCTCCCTCCCTCCCTCCTTCCTTCCTTCCTTCCTTCCTTCCTTTTGCTTTGGAAAATAGCTTGACCCCCTTCCTCCTCTCTGGGGCAGCCCCTCCAATATTGGAAGATGCTCTCCTGTCTCCCCTGGTCCTTCTCTTCACTAGACCAGCTATGATGCCCAGTTCCTGCAACCGTTCATCGTAGGTTTCAGCCTCCAGGCCTTTAATCATTTTTGTTGCTCTTCTCTGCACTTTTTTCCAAAGTCTCCACATCCATTTTTATAATGTGACCAAAACTGGATGCAGAATATTCCAGGTGTGGCTTTATTAAAGCTTTATAAAGCGGTGCCAATACTTCACCTGACTTTGATTCTATGCCTCTGTTTATACAGACCAGGATCGTATTAGCTTTTTTGGCTGGCTCGTGTTTAAGGGATCCTCCACTAGGACTCCAAAATCCCTTCGCTTAATGACTGCAATGATTCACATAACGACTACTGCAAAAAGGTCGTCAAACCGTGTGGGGCCTCACTTAACGACCCGCACGACTTACGACCATCATTCCAGGCTCAGTGATGGCCGTAAGTCGAAGACTACCTGTATTCTTGTCCTTGTGCTACCTGTCCTAACCAGTTTCGTTGTGTACATGATGTACAGTGACAATAAGGGCTGTCCTATACTGTTGCGGCCCATGGAAGGCAGCTCTTGGTGTCTGTTGAATGTCTTCCAGAGACAAAACTCCCTTTCCCCACCGAAGCTGTCATCGCTGCCGGGGTGGTCCTGTCACTCATCGTTCTCTTCAGTTTTGCAGTTCGATGGAAGAAGATCGTACAGGTAGGAAGGCTCGAGGTTGGCTCTGAGTCATTCAGAGACATCTGCCAGGTGCGAAGAATCAGAGTCACATGAATCTTTAACCCACTTTGGTTACGATTAAGCTGATTTATTGCTCAAGAATCTAGTCCAGGGGTCAAAACACAAGAATCTAGTCCAGGGGTCTCCAACCTTGGCAACTTGAAGACTTGTGGACTTCAGCTCCCAGAATTCCTCAGCCAGCAAAAGCTGGCTGAGGAATTCTGGGAGCTGAAGTCCACAAGTCTTCAAGTTGCCAAGGTTGGCTGAGGAATTCTGGGAGTTGAAGTCCACAAGTCTTCAAGTTGCCAAGGTTGGAGATCTAGTCAACCAATGGTCAGCACTACTTTGGCACTAGAGAAGAGTCAATGGAATTCCGTTGGATTTAGACCGCTGGTGGGAACGGAAGGATTCCAGGCTGGTTCCTCTCTTGACTCCACCCCTCCTTCTCCTACAATATCAGACAGTGGATATGGGACACAGTGCCCAGCACTGTTTGTTTTGTGAGCTGGGCAGCCATCCGAATTGGGAGGGAAAAAAAATCAATAAACCCAGCCATGGGGATCGAGAGCTTGAAAGAAAGAAAGAAAGAAAAAATGAAACATGTAGAACTTGGAAAAGTGTGCGTGTGTGTTTATATCGATATGTAGATGGATGGATGGATGGACGGACGAACAGAGAGAGAGACACACACAGAGACAGACATGATGGATGGATAGACAGAGAGACAGACAGAGGCATATAGACAGACAGATGGATGGGTGGATGGATGGATGGATGGATAGATCGATCGATCGATCGATAGATAGATAGATAGACAGACACACAGACAGACAGACAGATAGAGATAATGGATAGAAGGATGGATGGATGAATGAGTGAATGAATGAATGAATGATGGATGGATGGATAGAGACAGACAGACAGATATGGATGGACGGATAGATAAACAGATAGATAGATAGAAAGGTAGATAGATAATGGATAGAAGGATAGATGGATAATTGATGGATGGATGGATAGATGGATAGAGACAGATAGACAGACAGACAGATATGGATGGACGGATAGATAGATAGATAGATAGATAGATAGATAGATAGATAATGGATGGATGGATGGATGGATGGATGGATGGATAGAGATAGACAGACAGAGAGACAGATATGGATGGACGGATAGATAAACAGATAGAAAGATAGAAAGATAGATAGATTGATAATGGATAGAAGGATGGATGGATAATGGATGGATGGATAGATGGATAGAGACAGATAGACAGACAGACAGATATGGGTGGACGGATAGATAGATAGATAGATAGATAGATAGATAGATAGATAATGGATAGAAGGATGGATGGATGATGGATGGATAGATAGAGAAAGACAGACAGACAGATATGGATGGACGGATAGATAAACAGATAGATAGATAGATAGATAGATAGATAGATAGATAGATAGATAATGGATAGAAGGATGGATTGATAATTGATGGATGATGGATGGATAGAGACAGACAGACAGACAGACAGATATGGGTGGACGGATAGATAGATAGACAGATAGACAGATAGATAGATAGATAATGGATAGAAGGATGGATGGATAATGGATGGATGGATGGATGGATGGAGATAGACAGACAGACAGATATGGATGGATGGATAGATAAACAGATAGATAGATAGATAGAAAGATAGATAGATAGATAATGGATAGAAGGATGGATGGATAATTGATGGATGGATGGATAGATGGATGGATAGAGACAGACAGACAGACAGATAGATTGGATAGAAGGATGGATGGATGGATAGATAGAGACAGACAGACAGACAGATATGGATGGATGGATGGATGGGTAGATAGATAGATAGATAGATAGGCAGGCTGACTGACTGACTCCTGTAATTAGAGCTTTGTGGGGCTGAAATCTACACAAATTGCGGTAGAATTCAAACAAAAATTGCCCCTCCGGAGGCCTCCCCTATCACAAGAGGACGTGGCCCTTCTTTCTACAGGCCAAAATTCAGGCGTTGGCAGTGCCGGAGGCTGTCTTGGTGGGGTGGGGGGGGGGGGGAGCAGTGAAAAACCCGGGAGGGGCTTGTTCCCATTTTTAAGAGGTGGCCCCTTTTCTAGCCAGAGGCCAATTTCCTTCCGCCATCAATTCTACATCGGCCCTTTCGGATGTCTGAAGGTGACTCAGCCCTTGACTTTTGAAACCCAAGTCTCTCCCAGGAAAAAAACAACCTTCCAAGTTGGCTTTGACGGCAGGAGGTGCTGCTCTTGCTTGAATCCCTTTATACAAACACAAACACACAAACACACACATAAGTACAAACACAAACACACAAACACACACACAAACACAAATATAAACATAAACACACAAACACAAACACACATATAAGTACAAACACAAACACAAATACACAAGCACAAACACACACACAAACAAATATAAACAAACACAAACACATATAAGTACAAACACAAACACACAAACACAAATATAAACATAAACACAAACACAAACACACAAACACAAACACACATATAAGTACAAACATAAACACAAACATACAAACACACACACAAACAAATATAAATATAAACACAAACACACAAACACAAACACACATATAAGTACAAACACTAACACACAAACACACACACAAACACAAATATAAACATAAACACAAACACAAACACACATATAAGTACAAACACAAACACAAATACACAAGCACAAACACACAAACACAAATATAAACATAAACACAAACACACATATAAGTACAAACACAAACACAAACACACAAACATAAACACCCACACACCCAGCAGGAAGGAGCCGTCATCCACCTCCTGGCCCCAGGTGGACTTCCTAATTGCTCCCCCCTTCCTGCCCAAATGCAGCACCTTCAGGTAGGGAATGGGCCTGGGGCGGTGGCTTCACATCTGCCTAACATCTGGGCGAAGGAGTGGCAGAGAGCGAGTGGCTTCCGCCCGCTTCCTTTCGCCAGGGCCTTGGGCCAAGAGGAACCTAAAGCCCCAAATGTTCATCTTTCTTTTTTTATTAACATACGTAAGTATTTAATAAACAGTGTATTGTCTGGGTCATTTTATATATAATATAAATAATATATATTCTTTCCTTCCTTCCTTTTCTTCCTTCTTTCCTTTCTTTCTTTCCTTACTTCTTTTTCTTTCCTTCTTCACCTCCCTTCCCTTCCTTCCTTCCTTCCTTTTTCTTTCTTTCTTTTTTTTTTTTTTTCTTTCCTTCTTTCCTTTCTTTCCTTCCTTCCTTCCTTCCTTCCTACCTTCCTTTCTTTTCTTTCTATTCCTTTCCTACTCGCGCTCTCCTCCCCTTTTTTCCCTTTCCCCATTCCTTTCCTTTCCTTTCCTTTCTTTTCCTTCCCTTCCCTTCCCTTCCCTTTCCTTCACTTCTGCCTCTTTTCTTTCCTTTCCCTATATTTTCCTTTCCTTTCCCTTTCCCTTTCCCTTTCCCTTTCCCTTTCCCTTTCTTCCTTTCCTTTCCTTTCCTTTCCTTTCCTTTCCTTTCCTTTCCTTTCCTTTCTTTTCCTTTCCTTTCCTTTCTTTTCCCTTTCCCTTTCTTCCTTTCCCTTTCTTCCTTTCCTTTCCTTTCCTTTCCTTTCCTTTCCTTTCCCCTTCCCTTTCCTTTTTCACTTTTTGTGGTAGTGTTTCAAGAAAACCGATCCTGCGAGCCACACCGCCCTGTAAGTACTACTGATACTACTTCTTACTCGTGTCTTTCTCAGAAAAAAAAAAACCCCAGTCAGGATAAATGTAATCAGACGCCGCGTTTCTATATTAGTCAGAAAGTAGGAAAGCAGCTTCATTTCCTAAGACAGACGGTCCTTGAATTAGAAATGTTCCTTTAGCCGCCATTTGAAATTACAAAGGCACTGAAAAATAACTTCTCAACAAATGGTGCTCGCACTTACGACCGTCACAGCATTTCTCCAAGGAAATGTCCCATGATCAAAATCCAACGGTTTGGCATGCATTTACAGTAGAAGTTAACAGTAGAAGTGGTGGAAAATGAATTTATGACAGTTCCATCTTCCTGGGATCATATGATGATCACTACTGCAAACTTCCCAGCTGGCTTTTGACAAGCAAAGACCCTGGGGGAACCTAAGGACCGGTGTGACTTATTTAATAACTGCAGTACAGGTAGTCCTCGACTTATGACCACCATTGTCTCCAAAATTTCTGTTTTGTTAAAGTGAGACATTTGTTCAGTGAGTTTTGCCCCATTTTCTCACCTTTCCTCCCACAGCGGTTACGTCTGGTGAGTTGATTTGGAGAGGTATCCTATACAGGTAGCCTTCGACTTACAATTGAACCCAAAATGCATGTTGTTAAGTGAGACATTTGTTAAAGGACATTCCTTTAGAGAGCCAAGAAGCTTCTTCAGCTCTGACTGGATTTTATTATTTATTTATTTATTTATTAATTTAATTTGTATACCGCCCTTCTCCCAGAGGGGACTCAGGGCGGTGAACAGCCAAAATTAAAAAAACATATAAATACAAAAGTTAAGATAATTAAAAAGAATTAAATCATTAGCTTCCCAATTTAAAACCCCCAAATCCATAAAATTTAAAATCCCAATGAAAAACCATTTAGGCTAGGATGGTGGGGAATGAAAGGATCGATACTCCTTGTAGACAGCTGGTCATTTGCATCCTTTTAGACGGTCTTTAAGTGGCTCAGTGGCTAAGACGCTGAGCTTGTCGATCGAAAAGTCGGCAGTTCAGCGGTTCGAATCCCGAGTGCTGCGGAACGGGTGAGCTCCCGTGACTTGTCCCAGCTTCTGCCAACCTAGCAGTTCGAAAGCACGTAAAAAAGTAGGAAAATAGGGACCACCTTTGGTGGGAAGGTAACATCTTTCTGTGCGCCTTTGGCGTTGAGTCACGCCGGCCACATGACCACGAAGACGACCTCGGACAGCGCTGGCTCTTCGGCTTTGAAACGGAGATGAGCACCGCCCCCTAGAGTCGGGAACGACTAGGACAGGTGCGCGAGGGGAACTTTTACCTTTACCTAGAGGGACTTTGGAGGCCACTTGGAGGTTTCTCTGTGTCCTCAGGGTCACCTGAGTGGTGCAAACAGTTCCTGTAACCTGCAATTTTTTCCCTCTGGAACTCCATCCCTACTCCCACACCATTCCAAGGGGGCTCATCCCAAATTGGATAGCTAAAAGTCCGTAGAGATTCTCAGTCATTCAGGTCATGGCTGTCCCAAAGGGGCTCCATCTCTGGGTTGGGAGGTGAGGCAGCCCTGTTTTTCTCATGCTCGTCTTTCCTCGACTGCAAAATGAAACGATGGTTTGGCTCTCCGCCTCAAGACAGATTGACAGATTGTGGTTGAAATCTCATTGCCACTAATTGTGTTGTTTGCCTTGCTTTGGGTTTTAATTTCCTGTTTGCTGCCCAGAGTCACGGTGTGCGATGGGCAGCCCTCATAAATTGCTTTAATTACTTTTCTGGCAGTGCCCAAATAAAAACTGGGGCTCTTCACTCAACCGGTTGCTATCCTGGCTGTATTTTTTAATCGGAGCGCTCAAGAATCAATTCCTTTTTCTTCCTTTATTTATTTTAGAGCTGGCAGTCAGAGTTATTTTATTTTATTTTTTAATTTGATTTATCTGCCGCCCTTCTCCGAAGACTCAGGGTGGCTTACAGTGCGTTAAGCAATAGCCTTCATCCTTTTGTATATATTTTATACAAAGTCAGCTTATTGCCCCCACAATCTGGGTCCTCATTTTACTCACCTTAGAAAGGATGGAAGGCTGAGTCAACCTTGAGCCTGGTGAGATTGGAACTTACAGTAATTGCAGGCAGCTGGTCTTAATAACAGGGTGCTTTAGACCACTATACTACCAAGGCTCCTATTTTAATACTTTTTTTTTTTTTGCAGGTAAAGGAATTCTTACTCTGGAGCAACCTCTTAGCTGACCCGTGTGGCTTCAGATGGCCAATCTTTCCTCTCTGCAAGGAAACTCTTAGCGCCGTTGAACCGTTGCTTTGATTTCGAACTTTAAATAAATCAAATTTATAACTTACCTGTGTTCAAGCAACATTAACATATAGAACTGATCCACTTTCAAGCGACAATAAAATGTATAGATTAACAGAGTTGGAAGGGACCTTGTAGGTCATCTAGTCCAACCCTCCGCCCGAGCAGGAGACCCTACACCATTTCTGACAAATGACACTCCAATCTCTTCTTGAAAACCTCCAGTGATGAAGCTCCCACAACTTCCGAAGGCAACTTCCATCAGTTCTCACTGTCCATCAGTTGATGGTTCTCACTGTCAGAAAATTCCTCCTTATTTCAAGGTTGAATCTCTCCTTGATGAGTTTCCATCCATTGTTCCTTGTCTGGCCTTCGGGTGCCTTGGAGAATAGCCTGACCCCCTTCCTCCTCTCTGGGGAAGCCCCTCAAATATTGGAAGATGCTCTCCTGTCTCCCCTGGTCCTTCTCTTCACTAGACCAGCCATGTCTTCTGTCCATCTATGGTTCATTCAGATGTCTTTCTTTCTTTCTTTTCTTTTCTTTTCTTTTCTTTCTTTCTTTCTTTCTTTCTTTCTTTCTCTCTCTTTCTTTCTCTCTCTCTCTCTCTCTTTCTTTCCCTCCCTTCCACCTTCCTTCCCTCCCTCCCTCCCTCCTTCCTTCCTTCCTTCCTTTTGCTTTGGAGAATAGCTGGACCCCCTTCCTCCTCTCTGGGGAAGCCCCTCAAATATTGGAAGATGCTCTCCTGTCTCCCCTGGTCCTTCTCTTCACTAGACCAGCCATGTCTTCTGTCCATCTATGGTTCATTCAGATGTCTTTCTTTCTTTCTTTTCTTTTTTTCTTTTCTTTTCTTTCTTTCTTTCTTTCTTTCTTTCTTTCTTTTTCTTTCTTTCTTTCTTTCTTTCTTTCTTTCTCTCTCTCTCTTTCTTTCTCTCTCTCTCTCTCTCTTTCTTTCCCTCCCTTCCACCTTCCTTCCCTCCCTCCCTCCCTCCTTCCTTCCTTCCTTCCTTTTGCTTTGGAGAATAGCTGGACCCCCTTCCTCCTCTCTGGGGAAGCCCCTCCAATATTGGAAGATGCTCTCCTGTCTCCCCTGGTCCTTCTCTTCACTAGACCAGCCATGTCTTCTGTCCATCTATGGTTCATTCAGATGTCTTTCTTTCTTTCTTCTTTCTTTCTTTCTTTCTTTCTTTCTTTCTTTCTCTCTCTCTCTCTCTTCTTTCTTCTCTCTCTCTCTCTCTCTTTCTTTCCCTCCCTTCCACCTTCCTTCCCTCCCTCCCTCCCTCCTTCCTTCCTTCCTTCCTTTTGCTTTGGAAAATAGCTTGACCCCCTTCCTCCTCTCTGGGGCAGCCCCTCAGATATTGGAAGATGCTCTCCTGTCTCCCCTGGTCCTTCTCTTCACTAGACCAGCCATGTCTTCTGTCCATCTATGGTTCATTCAGATGTCTTTCTTTCTTTCTCTTTCTTTCTTTCTTTCTTTCTTTCTTTCTTTCTCTCTCTCTCTCTCTCTCTTTCTTTCCTCCCTCCCTCCTTCCTTCCTTCCTTTTGCTTTGGAGAATAGCTTGACCCCCTTCCTCCTCTCTGGGGCAGCCCTCCAATATTGGAAGATGCTCTCCTGTCTCCCCTGGTCCTTCTCTTCACTAGACTAGCCATGTCTTCTGTCCATCTATGGTTCATTCAGATGTCTTTCTTTCTTTCTCTTTCTTTCTTTCTTTCTTTCTTTCTTTCTTTCTTTCTTTCTTTCTCTCTCTCTCTCTCTCTTTCTTTCCCTCCCTCCCTCCTTCCTTCCTTCCTTTTGCTTTGGAGAATAGCTTGACCCCCTTCCTCCTCTCTGGGGCAGCCCCTCCAATATTGGAAGATGCTCTCCTGTCTCCCCTGGTCCTTCTCTTCACTAGACCAGCCATGCCCAGTTCCTGCAACCGTTCTTCGTATCTTTTAGCCTCCAGTCCCCTCATCATCCTGGTTGCTCTTCTCTGCACTCTTTCTAGAGTCTCAACGTCTTTTTTATAGTGTGGGGACCAAAACTGGATGCCGGATTCCACGTGTGGCCTTACTAAGGCTTTATAGAGGGGTATTAGTACCCCCCTTGATCTTGATTGTATCTCTCTGTTAATGCTGGCTGATAATTTATCCACCGTCAAAACAGATGCTGTCTTATGGGCTTTATTGACTGATTTGGACTAAACAGGCTTCAAAACCAGTTAGGAAACAACGAACCGGTTTCCATGTTTGCACCAGGTGTATGGCATCACCACTTTGAAGAAATGTTGTGAAAGAGTTGTGAACATGGGTTTGGTAATGACTGGCTGACTAAGGGAGGCTGCTTTAATGTCTTCCTTGCCCGCCAGGCTAACGATGGAGAAATGACTCCCTTTGTTTCGTTTGTGTGTCTGGCACGGACTGAAAAAGTTGGCAGGATTTTGTGCTGCCTTCTTTTCACAACTGTGGCCTTCTTAATGCGCAGAGGTGCCCGACAACGGAGGCCTTTGGATGATGCGGGAGACAAGGCATGGGTTGAGTGACGTGCACCTTTGTAGCTTCCCAGGGCTTTTACAGCCCTCTCTAAGAGGGCTTCAGAGTCAGCATTTTCCCCCAAACAGCCCAGGTCCTCATTTGACCAACCTTAGAAGGCTGCGTCAACCTTGAGAGTCAGCCTGCAATACTGCATTCTAACCACTGCACCACCACAGCTAGCTTCCTTCCTTCCTTCTTTCCTTCCTTCCTTCCTTCCTTCCTTCCTCTGTTTCCTTCCTTTCTTTCTTCCTTCCTTCCTTCCTCCCTCCCTGCTTCCTTCCTTTCTTCCTTCCTCCCTCCCTCCCTGTTTCCTTCCTCCCTCCCTCCCTCGCTTCCTTCCTTCCTTCTTCCCTCCCTGCTTCCTTCCTTCCTTTCTTCCTTCCTCCCTGCTTCCTTCCTTCCTCCCTCCCTGCTTCCTTCCTTCTTCCCTCCCTCCCTGCTTCCTTCCTTCCTCCCTCCCTGCTTCCTTCCTTCCTTCCTCCCTCCCTCACTGCTTCCTTCCTTCCTCCCTCCCTGCTTCCTTCCTTTCTTCCTTCCTTCCTTCCTCCCTCCCTGCTTTCTTCCTTCCTTCCTTCCTCCCTCCCTGCTTCCTTCCTTTCTTCCTTCCTTCCTACCTCCCTCCCTCCCTGTTTCCTTCCTTCCTTCCTCCCTCCCTCCCTGCTTCCTTCCTCCCTTCCTCCCTTCCTGTTTCCTTCCTCCCTCCCTCCCTCGCTTCCTTCCTTCCTTCTTCCCTCCCTCCTTCCTTCCTTCCTTCCTTCCTCCCTGCTTCCTTCCTTCCTCCCTCCCTGCTTCCTTCCTTCTTCCCTCCCTCCCTGCTTCCTTCCTTCCTCCCTCCCTGCTTCCTTCCTTCCTTCTTTCCTCCCTCCCTCCCTGCTTCCTCCCTTCCTCCCTCCCTGCTTCGTTCCTTCCTTCCTTCCTCCCTCCCTGCTTCCTTCCTTCCTTCCTCCCTCCCTGCTTTCTTCCTTCCTTCCTTCCTCCCTCCTTCCTTCCTTCCTTCCTCCCTCCCTGCTTCCTTCCTCCCTTTCTTCCTCCCTCCCTCCCTCCCTCCCTAAGCAATAGCACTTAAGACTTATATACCGCTTCACAGGGCTTTTACAGCGCTCTCTAAGCGGTTTACAGAGTCAGCCTCTTTCCCCCAGCAATCTGGGTCCTCATTTCACTGATGGGAGGATGGGAGGCTGAGTCAATCTTGTGCTGGTCAGGACTGAACTTGCTGGCTGTTGGCAGAGTCAGCCTGTAATACTGCATTCTAACCGCAGCTCCAGCACAGCTTCCTTCCTTTCTCCGTCCCTCCCTCCTTTCTTCCTCTCATTCCCATCTCCTTCCCCACTCTTGCTTCCTAATTCCTCCCTCCCTCTCTCCCTCCCTCCCTCCCTCCCTTCCTTCTTTTCTTCCTTCTCTAGAATAATAGAATAACAGAGTTGTAAGGGACCTTGGAGGTCTTCTGCTCCAACCTTCTGCACAAGTGGGAGACCTTATATCATTCCTGACAAATGTTCAATCTCTTCTTGAAAACTCCATTATTGGAGCCCCCACAACTTCTGGTGGCAAGTTGTTCCACTGATTAATTGTTCTCACTGTCAGGAAACTTCTCCTTAATTCCTGGTTGCGTCTCTCCTTGATTAGTTTCCATTCCTTGCTTCCTGTCCAGCCTTCTGGTGCTTTGGAGAACAGATTGACTCCACCCCCCCTCTTCTTTGGAGCAGCCCCTCAAATACTGGAAGATGCTATTATGTCCCCCTTGGTCCTTCTTATCATTAATCTAGACATACCCAATTCCAGCAATCGTTTTTCGTCTGCTTTATAGCTTCCAGTCCCCTAATCATCTTCGTTGCTCTTCTCCGCACCCTTTCCAGAGTCTCAACACCTTCTTTACATGTGATCAATGTTAAATGTGAACAGGATTCAACCGGAAGCATCGCGGCGAGACAGTCAGGGAATTAGCGGGCTCCGATTAGCTCCTCAAAAACCCAGATTGACGAACCGTCACCAAGGGGTCTTCGAACCTTCCTGTAGGGATGGGGATGAAGGGGAGGTACCTCAGAAGACCAAGAGGAACAGGCAAGTTACTCGAAGGTCAGAGGAAGCTCTCTACGACTTGGCGGTGGGGGGCGGCAGTCATTGCGGCTGTCACGAAGCTGGGGCAACGGGACTAAGCATTGAGCAGGAGCGGTGAATGGAACAGAGTTTTTGAAGCCGGGTGGGTGACAGCCAACTCACAATTAAAAAAAAAAAATTAAACCTGAAGACCCCTAGCGAAAAAACAGCGGCTAATGAGCATGGGGGGAAGAAAAGAGGATGTTGAAGCGTAATTTTAAAGGGACAAAATCCCGAATATAAAAGTGACTTTTGAATAAAACTACTTGGAAAATAATTTGGAAAATTTTAAAAATGAAAGAAATTACCCCAAGATTGATTAAAGGATCGGAAAGAAAGAAATAGATCCTTTCTCTCTCCTCTCTTTTGCGAATTTTAAGAAAAAGAAAAGAGAATGGACAATAAGCCCTGTAATACAAGTGCTGTATAAAAAAAAGAAAA